AACCCGATTATTATGTTACACGCGAAAGCGATATAACCTACACAAGCTTATACACTTTTACGATAGATGTATGAAAGGTGATGAACAGCCTTAAATTGGTAATTAACTATAGTCAACGAATTGGACAAATGATCGTTTGTTAATTACGAACATACAACGTTTTAAAAAGAGTTATGTCCCTTAATATGAATGATTCATAATTTTCTGAGAAAATTTTACCAAAAGCAAAGTGATTAGCTTAGTTTCTCAACTCCTTGTAATTTCGTTTCTGAAACACTGAGAGTGAGAATGAATGTTAACAATATACTTAAAGCTCTTAAGTTTAACTTCGAATTTTAGTAGATATCGCTTGAACATAGAAAAATTATTTATTTGATTTTAAAGATCAAGTGACAAGTATAATAGATTCTTCAATATCATAATCACATGTCAAAACTTTTATCTTACTTTTAATAAGGATCAATTTCTCCTATTTTTCAAATTTAAATTCTTATAAACTATCTGATCAATATCGATTCGATCTATTATGACTTTTGAAACTTCAAGTAACTCAAATTGAGTTTAATCAGATTGAGATTTTAGATCAGTTTTAGATCAAGTTTTCGGATATTTTTTTATCATACGCACAACCTAATAGAGTGTTATCTTCCATATACATAGAAATAGGTACAAAATCAAGGATTTATGTATAACGAGTAAGCAATAACCGTGCTATCTCGCTATGTCCAGCGACTGGCCATTCTCATGGGAATACGTTCACAAAATAATGCTTTCTCTGTCATTCGTATCGTGGGTCATACAATATATATATATATATATATCGTATTGTATGTTTTATGATTTATATATTCGCATTCAGAAACATTTTCACTAATCTGGTCTCTCTTTAGATTTAAGCACGTGGAAAGAAAAGCAGGAATCTTCACCTTCTCTCTTTCGAGAAAAACTTGAATATCTACGTTCCAACGTTGGGCCATAACGAGAAGAAGCTGGATCTTCTTAGTACTCGTTACGTGTCCTCTCGTGATAAAAAAAGAAAGATGGATAGAGAGAGAAAGAGAAAGAGAGAGAGAAAAAGAGAGAGAGAGAGAGAGAGAGAGAGAAAGAGAGATAGAAAAGAATAACGCTTGTTCGTTGAACTTACGTTTTCTTTTCAACAAAATTTTACTATAACTATAAGAGTACTTTTCTTGAATAAAACATTGTTATTGTTTCTTACCGTATAATATCCTTTATAACGTTTATTATTTTTCTTGTCAATACGATTAGTGTTCATACTTCTCATTGTTCGAACAAGTTGAAATCGTTTTTGTTCCATACTGTTTTCCCACACTAGAAGCTATATATATTTGACGTAGAGTTTGCCAATTAGTTGAAACATTGGAGTAGTAGATATCGTTTATCGATAAAAGATGTTGAAACTATTGTAAATTAGTTGCGCTTTTTTACTGGGATCGAGTATTACAACTTGGAAGTAATTCCTTACTTCATTCGAAGAAGTTGTCGTTTGGTTCATAGAATTCAGGAAACGATGGAAATTTATATAATTAAAATAAAAAAAAAAAATTAACATCAATAGGAAACAAATTATCGCCAATATAAAATTTTGATCTTGTAGGAAATTGAATTATTAAATTTTCATAAATTTCATTAGTTGATTTATACATAAATGCGTTAATATAAATTGTTTATCATTATTCGTCATTACTGCAAAAGTTACTATCAGTTTGCAATCTTATATGTGTTTAATTCAAAGACATTCTCTCGTGCCCATTTGTACTATAGTTATCATCAAATCGTACATCCGGCGATGCTCGCCAAGTAACGAAAAGGATGGACAGGCACGCGATGAACGTGGAACTTGTTAGATATCTAGTTACTTACAACTACCCTACGATTTTGATCGCACAGATGTCAGATCGCATTTTTCATTCTTCTACGATGTGGATATAGGTCCCTCACGACCGAATGCTTCCTTCTTGCTTATATGGAAACATTTTCGTTCTGCTTTCACTCCAGCTACGTGCGCTTAATAATATTTCGTGACGTTTCATGAAGTCACGAATAATGCAGAGTTTATTGTAAAATTTCTAATTTTCCATCTGATATAAAAGATTTTATATCGTAAGAACGATCAATTTTATTCAAATTATCGATATACAATATCATAATCGTAATAATATGTAAAAAGAATGAAGGAATATATTTTCGTTCCGGAAAAATGATTAAAGGTGCTAGAGATAGAGTCTAAAGATGTTAATAAAAAAAAAAAAAAATAAAATAAAAAAGAAAATTTTATATTCATTTTTATATTCTTTCTTTTCCATTTAGAAAATATCCTTCGTTCAATTTTATCAAAATTTATCTGACGTAAAATAAAAACGACTGGTTCTCACGTAGAGGATTTAGATCCGCTGTTAAATCCAAAAGGCTTTTAGCCCTACCACCTGACAGTGTTTGAAGCCTAAAGGAGACTAAGAAAAGACCGTAAGAGAAGTACCACTAGGCTGAAATGTTTTTAAGAGGAAGGACTTCACCTATGCTTAAGGACGCGGTTTCCTAAAGGTTTACCACGGACCGGACCTCGAATGACAAATCGTTGCTTTAATGGTCGTATTAAGCAGATCACGGTAAGATATCGTCTAAGATAGAACGCTCGGACATAAATGTATTAATGTGGCTGACCATTACCCCCATGCTCGAGCTGGCTTATCGTAAAACTAGTACGTGCTTACCATGAACCTCATTCGTTCATCTATCTTTCATTGTAATAGGTAGAAGAAAGATAAAGCAGGTCAGATATCGAGTACCTAAAAAAGTTCATTATTAGTAATTGTGTTGTGAGAATAATCGAGTCCATTTTGTATTTATTTCTTCGTTATTTTACTTTTTTTTTTCCAATTTTTCCGTCAAAAGTTAAGCATTATAAAATAATTTACAGATAATTAAAGTTATAATCCTATATAAATATATTATACGTATGGATAGATTATCTTATATGATCAGGAACTTAAAAAGGTTAAAAGAGTTTCAAAAATATGATAGACGATCCTTATGCGATCACATTTATTAACAATATATAAAGTGTCGCTTATTTTTCGACATGATATTAAACAAATATAATTACCGATCGATTTCTGAATGTAAATTTTTATCTGACGTTTAAAATCATCAAAAATCGATTATTTTAGTATCATTTTTCATTTTCTTTGTCCTAGCAAACAGACTATTATCTCGGGTAATAAGATATCTTAATGAATATGTTATACAACCATGAGAGGAAGGAATATAGTGAGAATATATCAAAAGTTGCTAACGTTGCTGCAAGGGAAACATTTGAGCCAGCTGAATATCTATCGGTGATTCTCTACACCACTATTTCGAATAGTATTTCTTGTTTGTAGGTGCGACTGGTCTAGCTCTAGGAGGATAAATAGAGTTCCTGGAGGACCTCAACGAGGATCGATGAAGCAACGTCCAATCTGTCGCTAGCGTTGTACTATACTTACCGTAGACTTATTCTCCTTCTCTATCTTTGTCTGTCTGTCTGTCTGTTTGGCTCTCTCTCTCTCTTTGTCTGTCTGCCTGTTTGGCTCTCTCTCTTTCTCTCCCCCTCTTTCTCTCTCTCTCTCTCTCTCTTTCTCTTCCTCTCTCTCTCTCTTTCTCTCCCTCTCTCTCTCTCTTTCTTTCCCTCTCTCTCTCTCTCTCTTTCTTCTGTACTCTCGGTCACAGGAAGAGAGCACATTTCGCCAACTTCAATCTCCACATAGCCGGATTCTGAATGTGTGAATCGTAATACGAAGGTAGGTACGAACATTGCGATACACGTATTCAGTAACGAGAAATTTACCGAGACGTGGACAGTACCGAGAGGGAGAAGAGAGAGAGAGAGAGAGAGAGAAAGAGATGAAATCATTTTGATCGTACTATTTTTTATATTTTTGAGACTTTATTCATTTATGATTATATTTTGTCAATATTCTCTATTATTTAAAAATCTTATAATTCGATCGCAAGAAAAATATAGCGTTGATTTTATCGAAAGATTAACGTTATTCCAAAGCCGATAATACTTTTATCCAGATCTGTTATTTTTCGATTTTACGGACGGATAATATTAAACGTGTACAGATATGTAATTTTGGAGGAACAATATAATGTTAAAAATCTATACAACAAAGGAAAAACTTTGAAAGGTACGCAAGGCACGGTTCGTGCTACGGTCAATTCGATTGATCGATCGAGTGAGTGCTTATCGAGCGTTTAAATTCCATTTCGAGCATGAAACAAACGTTCTACATCAATGCTCTTTTATGCTCGCGCGAACGTCACGATTTTAACAAGGTCCACGGTCCATTCCCGTAGAACTCGTTACACGGGCATAATTGCGACGATTTCGTACGCCCCAGTGATTTACATTTCACTCCGAAAGAGAGAAACGCGTGAGCATGGAAGTACAATAGTATGTGTCTTGTCTATTTTATTCGTGTTCCCCGTATGTTAGACTTAATTGCTTCGCTTCACGTCGTTATACTTGAAACTGCATAATTCAAGAAGAAGAGACCCTTCTGAATATTAAAGTAACGATATGTTTTATTGCCTTTCCTTTTTTCTTATATTTCTTTCTGTTTTCTTTTTTTTCTTTTCTTTTATTTTTTACTAATTATTATACTTACATCTTTTTTCTTTTTTTTGAATTATCTCATCCTTTTGCAAATACTTTCTAAGAAATTTTACATACTAAGAAGTATGTAATATAAAGAAAAAGAAATTTTTATATTTGAAATGGCTACTCTTTTATATTTTAATTCCATCATTTTATTACTATATAATGTAATTTATACCAGTGATAATCTTTCCTTGTACCATTTAGAATCCAAGGATGGCTGCTTGAGAAGATTGAAGCGTCGTTTTTTCGTAGATTTTCTTGACTGAAATTAAAACGATAAGAGAAAGGAGTGTAATGAAATAAAGATTATTTCTTGTAAAACGCGTATAGTTTATTTCGTAATATTTTCTTTCGATGAAAGCGCATAATTCTCGCCTTCATACGTAGGTATTAGTTCGCCGTTTGGCCCGATTTTAAATTATCTCACATTCCCTTCAGTTTTGCAAATATACATATATACTTGTTTTTTCGTATCATCGATTCTCGAAGTCTTTGCGAGGAAAAACAGCATTTGACATTTTCGATACACCGAGGATTCGCCGTAGGATTTTCGAGAAACGAGGAGTCATATGCATGTATATACATACATACATACATATATACATATATATATATATATATATATATATATATATATATATATACGTTACCTATAAATATCACTTAAAGAAAAAGAGAACAGAGGTGGTTATTCTCGCTCTGTTTCTCACGCGTTATTCCTCGAAAGTTCGAACACTGAGTTTGAATCGTGTTCTTCGATCTTCGATTTTACACGCTACGTAAGCGAATCATGCTTACTCGATCGGACGAATAAGGATATTTCTTGGTCAATGATATAGCACGCGTAGTCGTTCTCATAGATTTCCTCTTTGTGAACGGATGATCGAATCTCTCTGTTCATTAAATTTCTTCGATAAATTACGAACCAAACGTGTAAACGTTTCTCAGCCATCGGTCGTATTTCATTTGAACGATAATTAATAATAACAAACTCCAGTTTTGCAACGTTGCATTTGATATTTTTTGCGCGACTGTACCTTAATAATCTATCTTACTTCGTAAGATAGCAAGTAATTGAACGGTTATTGGTTCTTATTCAAGTAATAACGACTATTTTAATTGTATCGAGTTATTTGATCTCAACGCTCGATCTTTTTCCTCACTGATGAACTAAATGAGCTCTTGGACAATAATGCGATTCTGATTTTCGCATCATGTCCTTTCGGATCTTTTCTCAAAATTCTCAACGTTGCTCCCAAACTAACCTCTCGAAACAATTTCAACCACTCGGTAAATTTTCCCATCGAAGCTCGGATAAATGTAATCCCCCGTTTTAACAACGAAGCACGATAATTTAATTTACGACAACTGTAAACGGTAAATAGTTTACTATCGGTATTTCAATTACGACGATAAAAATATCACTGTACTTGCCAAATTTACGACGGCGTTGCTGTAACTACTCTCAGGAATCACAATAAAAAGACAATAGTTCTATAAAAAATAACGATAGTTTTTCAAAGTGCAATTATGTAAATCAAATGAAATGATTGCCAATAATAATTAGGTCGTTGTATAAGACAATTTTTATAGAAGAAACTTTTTTTACTTTTCTCTCTTTGTTTCTATTTAATTTTCATACTTGAACGGTTGTTAAGAAAACAAAAAAAAAAAAGAAACGAAAAAATAGCAACGCCGTCGATCATACTTTTCTTTTCAATTTCAGCATTCTCTCTATCTTTTATTATTTCTCACTCATTCTTATACCTTTCGAAACAATAAAAAGGTTCGTGCCACGTATAAGACGATAACGTTTTTCGTCATGTTTGTTTCAGTCATCGGTCATTGCACTCTCATATCTCAGCAGCGAGTACTGAGAATGCCTTTATGAGGGTCGCAGCGAGCATTGTCGAGTCTTCATCTCAGCACCTGAAGCCATCCTAGAATGGCGAAGAGGAAGAGTAGTAGAGAACTCCAGACGTCCGCTTGAATGTCACGTGAACCACCATGATGCAACTCGGCTAGGCTTTCTCCTGAAACATCGGGGTATACACTCAAACACTATAACTTTTACGGAGGTGAGATTCTCGATGAGAGAAAAGTGCTATAGGAGAACCTGAGAGGAGATTCTAAAGGTAGCCCTTGTGTTGTGTCGTTGAATTGAACCTTCTTTCTTCCTCCTCTCTCTCTCTCTCTCTCTCTCTCTCTCCTTTTTTTCTTTTTTTCCTTTTTCTTTTGCCATTGAATAGCGTGTCTTTCGTGTCTATACCTACGCTCTACAATACTTTCACGACTTAAAATTTTATAGTTCTTTCGCTTATAGTTATTCTTCTTTTGGCAAGGAATGGTTGAATTCTTTCCAAACTTTTACAGTGGAACAATTTTTGTTTGGACCCTTGAATTCGATTCCGTCTGAAATTTCGTTTTTTCTATTTTTTATTTTTTTTCTACTTTTTTTATTATTTCGATATTATCATCATCGCGTGGTCGCACGTATGAAACACGTGTACATAAATAAATTCCACTTTTGAAATATTTCGAAATTATTTCGAGGAACTACTTGTCTGTCCACTCGTGCAAAATGCAACGAGATTGTGTTCGAAGTGGATAGAATGGAAGAGGAGAAAAAGAAGAACGAAGCTTTATCGAGACAATGTTCCGATCAGCATCAAGGGAAGTATCGATAGCTGAATGCTTTCTCGGTTAACAATGGTGCTTCTAGTTATAGTGGGGTAACATATCGCTTTCTCTGCAACATAAAGGGTAGGTGGATGAGGCTTGATGGAATTATGGTTGGATTATCCATATATCTATCTCATGGTATGGTGTTCACTTTATTCCAACAGGATTTGTTCCGAAGGATAGATTCGAAATTTTCTCTCTTTCTCTTTCTCTCTCTTTCTCTCTCTCTCTCTCTCTCTCTCTCTTTCTCTCTCTTTCTCTCTCTCTCTCACTTTCTCGCACTCTCATCCTTTTTTTCTTTCTTTCTTGTGTTTTTTCTTTCTATTTTCTATGCGTGTCTCTGTGTGCTTTTAGAGAGAAAGAGGGAGAGAGAGAGAGAGAGAGAGAGAGAGAGAGAGAGAGAGAGAGAGATAGAAAAAGAGAGGTATATACGAACATTGAGTAGTGGCTTTCAGTGACGAACGCGTCACTTTCGCAAAGCTAGTGCTTCGATTCGTGTAAAGAAATAAAACAAATTGCGTTTCAAAACATTGACGATCGAAAGCTCACGAGACTAAAGTAAATGCGTTTGAAAATTCAATACACGTCATTGTTAGAAACCCACCTATTTTATTTTCATGTACTCCGTTTTGATTATTATAATCGCTCGTTTATTTCACAAGAATAAATCATTGATTGGAAGATAGATGATGGTTGGTATTGGATTACCGAGTAAATAGATTGATAAAAAACATGATTTCGTGTCGTCTCATCGTAACGATGCAATCAAAAAGATGGACAAATGCGATTAAATAGCGTAGAAATTTTAAAGAGACTCCTCGAAAATGGCGCGGCAGTAGTTACTCGAAGGACGTTCGTGAAATTGAAATTAATCGTATCAATGCGCTCAAAGTAATCGCGTTTTACTTTGAGTTCCAACGAGATTCGTCTCTATCGAAACGTTCGTTTTTGAGAGGATGCATTTGAAGATATTACGAGTTGAGTGGTTGGCCCAAGTTTTTTCTCGAATCAGCGAGAAACGTATTCAAATAGCATCGTCGACAGCCGAAAAGGAGTTGAGTGAAGGATAATTATATTAACGATAATCTTCCTGATAATCTTTGAGATAAAAATTATCATATTTTCTTTTCTTTTTTTTTCTTTTTCCTTATTTTTTTTTTATTGTAACTATCTATTCTCCCGTGAGAGGGAGGTTCAGAGTTGTTTAAATTTTCATTGAAAAAGTAACCATAAAATGTAAGTAATTGAAAAAATCGTCTCAACGACGAAACGTACTTATCGTATCTTATCAGAAATGAAGAATTCACTCGTTGATCCAAAAGTTACGTTTTTCAATTTTATCTGAATGTCTCCCGAACGATAGAAAGGTATAGGATATAGAAATTTTCTCCCGTGAGAATAAAAATTCGGATCTCTGTAGACTAAAGTGTACCTACGTGTGATCAAATATGTGTATAGGTATACATACATACATACATACATACATACATACATACACACATACATATATATATATATATATATATATATATACCTATGTATATACGTATTGCGGTAGGCGGTAGGATCGAGGTCTTTCTCGTTGCTTTCCCTTCGTATGAATATTTGAGTGCTTATCGATCGGGATGAGAGAGGCAACATCGTATTTTGGTAGACGGGTATTCACCATGAGGAGGAAAGGAGTAATGGTTGAGTGAGGATGAGAGTTAGTTGAGGGATGAGGAATAAATTTTTGTTCTATTTTATTCTCACCGTTCAGGACATGTACATGAATCGTTGCAGGCTGATCAGGCATGGTGGTGAGCATGCATGTGTAGTTACCACTGTCCGCTGGTCCGACTCTCGCTATGCTGAGAGTAGAGTTGGCCCCTTCCTCCATTAGGTCCGTTTTCACGCTAAAACAAATGTGACTCGTTGAAATTTTCATTTCGATGTATGTATATACATATATAAATATACATACATATATTTATATACATATACGAAACTTCCTCTTCGTACGTACGAGCTCGTTTCCGAATGAAATCGGAATAATATATGTGCGATAAAGTGTCTCTTCATGTACGATCGTAGGACAAAATATTGCTTTGAAAATGCGTCCGCTCATCGTAATATATTATATTTTCTTTCTTTTTATCATCTTCCCTTTGTTTATTATTTTTATTTTTTATATCTTTCTTTTTACTTTTTTTTTTCTATCCAACGGTTCTAATAATGTGTAAGCGTAATTTAAAATGGGATATGCTGTAATTAAATAACATTATAATATATGTAAACTTGTACTATATGTCTCAGTTAAAATTACGCACTGGTACTTGTACCTGTAACGTGTACTTGATTTTTATGCATTATTAATTAATTTACAAAGAATTTAAAAAGAACCAGGAGATTATGCACAGTCGACAAAACGTTATAAATTTACACAAAGGTCGACTGTTTAGCAATTAAAATATAGTTGAAATTTTTAAAGTTATAAGACATACATTTAATTGCTGACTTTTATGAGAATTAAAACATCATAAATTTCCTCTTTATTTAAACGGAAGTTTCATTGTCTTGCATATAAATTCTTTTTAAGATATGTCCATCAATCCGATCAGACATAAGATGCTATTAAAGTTCTTCGTTTTGTTATTGTCTTTCTTTGCTTTGTTTCTTTAGCGGAATGGGAAACATTTCAAACGAGAAGAGTTTCTCGAATTTCTCATTACTACCAACGAGCATGTAATCCAACGTTCTCCATTATACTATATACTTTTTCTCTTCAAACTATAATTACAAAACCTCGCATCCAATTTTATATTTTAATTTGATCTTAAAGACTCATTAAATTTCGAAGAAAAGTAGTTGCATAACTACTATTTTTTTATTCTATAACGTAAAAAAAAAAGCTCCATATGTTAGAGAGTAATAAAATTGACGATTATCGAATGTTTTCGTACACACACACACACACACACACACACACACACACACACACACACACACACACACACACATATATATATATATATATATATATATATATGTACATTTATCTATGTAGAGACGATATAAAGCGAATAAAGTAAAATTGATTACTCGTCAAATTTATTGCTAAATTTTTAAATAATGTCTACCTTTTATAATTTTCCGACAAAATCTACAAGTTAATCATTTTTTCAAATATTCTTTCGAACTATTTATTTAAATTTGAATATAAATAAAGATATTCCTCACTTCTATCTCTCTCTTTCTCTCTCTCTCTCTTTCTCTCTTTCTCTCTCTTTTTATTTCATGTTATGCTATTCATCCAGCACGAAATATAAACGATAATTACGTCGAGATATATTATTGCAAAAGAATTTGCAGCCCAATTTTTCTTTTTTCCAATTCTTTCTCATTCCTTCGCTCGTCGGTGGATCGATGCAGCTCAGCGTAAAATTAAAAAAGAAAAAAAAAGAAAGGAGAACGAAAAGAAAAAAGAAAAAAGATGACGAACGTAGGTGGGTGTATCTCGGTTTCTCAAGCGGGCAAGCGACACTGGCATTAAGTAGGTCTCCTTCTCGTTAGAAAGCGTCTCTACTTCTACTTTTCGAGGAGAAGAATAGCACCGACGACCTCTTCCTCGAAGTACGTTAATTGCTGGTTTCAATTTAACAACCGCGGTTCTCGGAGGAATGGTGGAAGAGGGTTAGAAAGATGTGGGTGGGAGAGGTTGGGTGGAAGAAAAGGAGAAGTTGAAGGTTGGCCTCAAGGGACTGCCCGTCTTCTCCGTTCGTGCACGCTTTCTCGGAAACTCGGAAAAGCGAATGAAAAGATGGCGGAACTTCTATTCTATTTTGATCGTATTTCTTTGGTGAAAAATATTTTACCGGCCTTTACGATTTTTCTTTTGCAAAAGGAAGAAGAGAAAGAAGATGTGAACGACGATAGAAGTCGACTCACGACAAAGACGATTGTTCTATACGGTTAATCCCATTTTTTGTATTACTTATAACAAAAATTCCATTATATAGGATAGAAATTATTCGCAAGAATGAAATGGAGAAGGGAATAAAAGAAAAAAAAAAAAAAAAAAAGAAAAAGAGAAAGAAAGTAAAACTCTTATTTCTTACAGATTCGGGCACGACGTAAGCTCTTAATCGCAGTCACCGCGCGATTCTCGACATGATTCACGTTTATCCGTTTAACTGAACACACGAATACACGCAAATGCTGGAGAACGATTTTCCCTTGGTAAGAAAAAGTAGGATAAAGGGGTTACTTTGTACTAACTGTTGAAAGAGAGAGAAAGAGAGAGAAAGAGAGAGAGAGAGAGAGAGAGAGAGAGAGAGGGAGAGAGAGAGAGAGAGAAAGAGATACAGAATGCGCGTAAAACAAGAGAAAAAAAGAGAGAGAGAGAGAGAGTGAGGAAGAGAAGAGAAAAGAGTTTAATTGAAAAAATTCTTGCGCTGCAATTTGTTCGCTCGTTATCTCGCAACGATAAAAAGTCCCCAAGAAAATTGTTTGCTGATCCAGAAGGGCCACGACTATAGACATAGATACACCCAATGCTTCCCATTCGCTAATACAACGATGTACATACATATATATTTGATTTTGCAGTTGAGCGTAGCGCTAATTGCGTCGCGAACAGAGTGAGAACGTCTATTTTATGTATATAACGGGATTACTCTTCTCGAGGTGAAAATACTTCCTTTTTGCGTGCAGTTTAAGCACAATGAAAAATGGTGCTCATTTAAGGAACGTAGCCTTTAAATTGAAGACGTCTTCGTACGATCAATTTTACCTCTTTTGTTGAACTTTCCCGTTGGAACTCTGAAGAAATATTAAGGAATAAAGTTTATACTTATTATTATAATTGTAGAATCTTTTTGTTTTATATTATTTAAAAAATACTAATTTTACATAAGTAAAATGCAGATTGCTTCTAAATAATTTGATGTCTAATGCATCTTAAAATTAATGATTAAAAAGTTTTAATTATATTATATTTGATGAAAAAGCTTTTCTTTCAAACCTTTCGTGCTTGGTCAAGGTTCGATGATCATAAGGATTTCATCCGTTTTCTTTTTTCCGTACAAATCCATCCTTCTGCCGTCACGGTTAATAACCGCGAAGTGAGTCGCAAGCTTTTATCTTGATCGATCGTTGCTAATAATAGGGGCGTGTAATCGTTGATATCGGAAAAAAAATGTGAAACTTTTTTCCCCTCTTATATCCGTGTGTCGAACTATCGTATCGTACATGACACGTTGATGAATTAGGATCGATTTAAGACTTTTATACGATTTGATTAGGTACTGGTTACTATCGTTTTTGTGATTACGATAGTACAGTTAATAGAAAAGATTAAGACATATAAAAAGACTAAGAATCATTTTGATAGAAGAAGTTCATACATGGAAAATATACTTTTCAATCACGCCAATAAATGTTGTAAAATGTATTTTTTCTTAAACTTAATGTGTTTTAATATTCATTATCTGAATAATAATCTAAACGAAATTTCGATTATTTGATCATTAATTATATGAATTCTCGGACGTACGATTAAATACGGTTGAATTATCTCTATTACAAGCGCTTGCAAATCAATAGATTATGTTCATTTATTCGATTAGTTCTTTTGAATTTTTTATTTAATCATTCTTTTTTCTTCTTTTTTGTTTTTTTTTGTTTTTTTTTGTTTGTTTGTTTTTTTTTTTTTTTCATAACGATACGCTCTAAGGTTGATTGTAACTGTTCTTAGTAATTTGCTTCTTCGAGGAGAAAAAAACTAAATTGATCTCTTTTTTTTTTCTGGCTCAATTTCTCGAACAGTAATGATGAAGTAATTCAGTCCAAATTTTAGTCTTTGCGTTCGTATGCAAATTTCTTTTCGATGCCAAATTTCCGATGGATTTAATATCCGCGCGATTTGACGATCGTCGAATCTCTTTCCGTTCTCTTTCATTTTATCATCGTGCCCTATTTCCTATCTCCATAGACCACGAACCATATATCACGCATCGATTAATCTCTATCGCTTGGCATACATAGATATTTCCTTCTTTTTCTCTCTTTCCTTTTTTTATTATTTTTTTTTTTTTTTAATTTTTATAGACGAAACGAAGCTTTCCTGACTTTAACCACTAAACGAAATTACCAAATTTACTAGCTTTATCGTCGATCGTTAAACCTTTGATGACGATGCGTCTCTAACGTCACTTTTATCATCGCTTTTCTCATTACTCTACTCCATAATGTCATGGAAATGCCGGAGGTCGACGTACTAAACAGCCTCGAGTGCTCGTTAAATCAGCACTTGTCGGCTCTAATTTCTTACCCGACGAAGATAATAGTGTCTCCGTCTTTTTCTCCCCATATATATAATAGTGCCCTTCTCTCTCTCTCTCTCTCTCTCTCTCTCTCTCTCTTTCTCTCTCTTTCTTTTTCTTTCTTTTTTCTCACTCTGGTTATCTTTTTTATCGGAAGGAGCTTACGGAAAAAATATTAAGCGACGTTAGTCGCTTGTTTATGCGACCATGTGCACCACGTGGTAGCTTTATGATGACGAGAAAGGAAGACGAATAGATAGTATAGTAACAAGAGATCGAGTGAGAAAAAGAATGATGGAGTAAGGTTAGTAACTTATTTTTCTTCTTCTCTCTTCACGCTCTATCTCTTCAGGTAAAAGGAGACTCTCCGTGTACACATCTTGATATGTACAAAGAGTACAGGAAACTAATTCCATTTACCACGAGCAATATATACGGTGGTATCGAGTTTACTCTTCGTAGTGGTCTACGAACCGACCCTCAACATTTTCAACGACCTTACATTCTGTTTCATTACTTTTTTCTATTTCGTTTCTTAAGTCTTCGTCTCTTTAACTTCACTTACGATTTGTCGTTACAGACAATTTCAGGATCATTTTTTCATTCTCTCTCTCTTTCTCTCTCTCATTCTCTTTATTTCTCTCTCGTTGTGGCAGTTCTATCTATTTTCAAGTACGCCCAGGTTTACTTAGCATGGATCAACGTACCATGGGAAAACGTGAGGTGTCGCTTTGCGAAAGGCACATCACGAATAGTTGAAGTTGGATTATAACTTTCCTTGTAAAGACGATAACTCGATCTCCTTTTACATTCTAGTGGTATACCAAAGTTACCCTTTTGCAGTAACCGTTCGTAATTATATTCGCTATATTCGATTCTTTTCATATAAGGTAGGTGTGTTACATTAGCGATGTATAAATTAAATGTAACATATAAAACAAAAATACTGTTACAGATTTATTTAATAACACCGGAAAATATTGAATTAACTATATATATATATATATATATATATATATATATATGTATATATATACAAAATAAAGTTGAATATAATATATTATTAAGGAAATAACAAATCTAAAGCGACTATCCGTGTTTCATTAAATAATTTTCCGAAACTACGAATACATTATAAATAATAGTTCATTCTTGGGATGGAAGGACATATTTTGGCTTTCATCATTTCCCTGTAAGCGTTCGTACGAGTATTTGTACAATTTTAACTCTGGTATAACGTAAGTATAATGCATGTCGGTAATTAAAGGACCAATTTTGTAACTCGAACAGAAACATTCGAACTCACTTCTAACTAATAGAAAGAAAAACATGGCGACATACATGCATACTAGAAGTTATATTGTATGTATCTCGTTCGTGTAGCAATTGTGGTGAGTATACAAGCGGTTACAAAATTAACGTTGCACCGTTTAAATGGAGTTTCGAAAGGTGACAACGATGGAAAGTTTAAATTGCTTTAGTTTTAGTGTTTCAAGCTTATTTTGTTCGCGAATAGTCATGTCCTAGCGAATTCAATTTCTTACACGTTTTCTTCGTCGCGTATTTCTTCCGATTTCGACGAAAATCATCGTCGTTGTTCATGGATTCTTAATCGGTGAAGGTATTGCCCGAGAATTTCTTATTTTACGAGCATGAATGTTCTCGGCCGTTGTTTCGAGTGAGTTTGAATTTTATTTACAGAACTAAGAGTACGAAGAATTACGGATCTCGAGAGCTCGACATTTATACCGAGACAGGCTGGAATAATGAATTCTTACGCCTTGCTATTACTTGGTTAAAACTTGACCGTATCGAATCGAGTTATGAAAGCGTAGGAACGTATTAAGAATGTCGTTATGAAATAGAAAGAGAAAGAGAGAGAAAAAGAAAGGGAGAGAGAAAGAGAGAGAGAGAAAGAGGGAGAGAGAGAGAGAGAAATGCCAGGACTCTTGATCATCTAATCCCATTTCCCTTTTATTTTCGAATTTTCGTATAGTAAAATCATCCTACCTGGAGCACTTTTAATTGAGAAAATTGCTATCCAGACGTTTCGCCAGTCATCCACCTTTCTTCATTCTTTCCGAAAGAAATCTCATTAAAATGTTGGTCGAATGATAATGTTCCCTTTAATTGTTAAAATGTTCTTTAATATTTACATCAACCGGGGCACCAAGTTGGAATTAAAGAGAAGGCTCGAAGAAGAAGAAATGACGAGCTTATTGTCGAGAATAAAGAATAATTATCTAAGAAGCTGAGTGCATCGTATATAGCTCTTGGATAACGAACAATGACGCTTCGATGGAAATGTAAGAATAACTCGTAATATTCGATAATTAATGAAATTACTTTAGCCGGTTAATGAATTGGATAAGTCATTTCTTAAAAAGCTCGTTGATTCTTATATTCTTTATATAAATTTTTGCTTGAAAACAAAAAAAAAAAATCTTACATCTTTATCTGCAAGATTTTTTAAAGCCTCTGATATTATGAAGTACATAATTTTTTTTTACAACTCCTACCTTCAGAAACAATTCTTCATTAAGTATAAACAAATAGAGATTATTTTAACGTAAGTTATTACTAATTAAAAATAATGTTAAAACAATCGAAAAAATCATTCGCAAAGTGTTCGAACTAAAACTGATATATTATTTTAAATGTTCTACGAACCTGATACCACCTCTCGTTGTGTCGTAGTTCAGAGTTCGATTACCATGGAGCCATTGGACGACACTGTACTGGACCTGCATCGCTATGTGACGCACGACGCATAGCAGTTCGATGGTGCTATCTGCCTCGTAGTATTTGTCCCTTAGCGGTTGACCCGCGCCGTCCACTATTTGGACGGATGGCGCTGAAATGGGATGAAACGAATTCAAGATGCGATTGTCTAAACGTTGTCAAGACCTTTTGAATGAAAACAAATAATATTGTTATTTATTTATATTATTTATTCGTATTTATTTTTAATAAATATTTATCTCTAATCAATATCTATAATATAAATACATTGGATATAATAAATAATAAATGAAGTTCCATCGAGGATCGATTTTTGCCTTGAAATCTCTTCTGCTATTGTACGTTTTCATAAGAATTTATTAATAAATAATTACATTATGGAAATCCATTTTTGCACTTTTGTGATTAAAACTCAAACTTGTATTATCTTCGTATCGTTAAGCTGTAGATTATAAATTATCGTTGAAAATAAATTTCGATATTTCATTTGGCGAAATAATTTTCAAATTTTCTCTTTCTTTCCGCGTCTCTCTCTCTCTCTCTCTCTCTCTCTTTTTGACCTAAATACTCCGAACACTATCGGATTACGGCTGACTTGAGCCATGAGTATTTTATTTTATTGAGCCAATAAATATTGACAAAACGCGCTTGTCCACGCGTTCGTATGCATATACTACTAACGGTGCTGTGGGCTGATTCAAAACGATTCCACCCTATCCTCGTTTTCTGGATCTCTTCCAGATACGAAATCGAAAGAGTTAGGGTTTACGAATGTATATATGAAAGAGAAGGAGAGAAAGGGAAAGAAATAGATATATATATATATATATATATATTCAAGTTGGATTGTATGCATAGATCTATGCGTCTATATGTCTGTGGCCACAGGAAAAGAATCATGAAGAAGGAAAATGCTTTGAGTATAGATCTCGACTGCTTTCGAGTGATATTTTCAAGCTCATGAATAGGTGAAAAATGTTTTACTCCTGCCAAACTTCTGCTTTCGATCCTTCTCGTTGATGCCATAGCATTTAGGATGTTTGCCATTCTACGAATTGTACAAAACGCGTTGAAAACTTTTTTCTTTCTCACCTCTTATCCTTTTTTCTTTCTCTTTTATTGTTCGTTGAAAATATCAGTGATGTGACGGCTCTGTGTAGATCGATTTCTTGGTTATAAATTTAGGCGAGGAATGATCTTTTGTTAAAATCGACGTAATAAATCGATTGACTATTACGTCTGTCTAACGTTCTATTACATTCTGACGTCATTGTATAAAAGATGTCTTCGTATAATCTTCATGCGAAGTGTTTCACTGACACGAGTTAAGGATCAAATTTTCGAATATACATTTGTAAACATATTACAGAAAAGAAAAAAATCATTATAATCAAAATACGTTCGAGTAATATTTTTTTTTTTTACTTCAAATTCACCCTTTACAGAGGGTGAATGTTCTCTTTTAATAGTACGAAAAGTTTTGTAGGCTGTAATGATGGAAAGGTAAAAGAGGCTCGTCGAAAGGTTGATATACAGATAGCTTTAGCCATTCGGATGCTACCTCTTTTTCGTTAGTTGGGTATCTTCCTGTTTGGGATTATACACTGATCCTTTACTCTCCGTTCGTTCACCAGCTCGTTCAACAAGGGAACACGACCCTTCTTCTTCTTGGTATGTATAAGTGACAACGGATGCTGTAGTTTCAAGAAGATTATCTGACCGGGATTCTTTCTCAAATCCTTCGGCTAAACATGTCTGAACGAATTCTTGGATAGGACGATAACATATATCGATTTCGAATTAAGCCTAAACGAAATATCTGATCGTAAATTATGTATCATTTTTCTTGACATTTAGGTATATCATAACGGTCAATTTTTTCTTTAATATTATTTTCTTCTTTTTTTTTTCTTCTCTTTTTCTCTGTAGGAAAGAAGATTTTAGTCAATGTACTAATATTGAATAATAATAGAAATAGACGTTACGAACAGTTTTCAAGTACATAATTTTTTCATTACGCAAATACTGCAGAAAGTTAATAATATAAATTTTCCCGTCGGAACGAACTCGTGGCATATTCCCGTGAGATAAGCAGGGAAATGGATTTTTCCAAGTATAGCGTCTAGTTGAATGAGAAAGAGAGAAAGAGAAAGAAGAGAGAGAGAGAGAGAGAGAGAGAGAGAGAGAGAGAGAGAGTAAGTTACGAAAGAATCTTCTGAAACTTCATGAAGAAGGTGTCATAATCCCTTTTCTAAAAAAACAAAACGTTTAAGCTCTCGACCTGTTATGAAAGTTTCTTTTTCCTGGCACCGACTACGTAGTAGGAAATTAACTTTGTCGATCGGGCGAACAAGAAGGTAAAGATATACGACTATCATCAAAAACGTATTTACCGTTGTTTCATCAATTTCTCGAAGATTATATGAATATTTAGACGTGAATTAATAGACGAGATATTTCTTTCACAATTTAGTTCAATTCGTTGATTTGAAAAATTAACGTGTTGAAGAGGAATAAAAAGCGAATAGATAGAATTCCTTTCTATGAAAGACATGCGAAATAGTGATCAAGAAATTTCTTCGTAAAAGAACTCATAGAAGTTTCAGCGTGAACTTTTCCGCAAACTCCTTTCGAATTTATACATCATCGTGTGAAATACGTTCGTAAGTAAAAATTATGATCGCTCGATTTGCTCATTAGCGATACTCTGAAATACTATTTGTAAAGTTTTTCAATCAAAACTTTTATCTTAAAAATCGTAAAGACTCAGTCCATTAAATTTACTGGCGTTGACATTTGTTTATTTGCTTTCAAAAGAAGGAAACAAAAGAAACGTGACACTTTCGAAAATTATTTTAAACATTTCTCTTAATTTACTTAACATCGTGAAATAAGAAAAAGATGATCGTAAGCAAAAAGGAAAAAGGAAAAACAAAAAAAAAAATAGAATTCTCAAGCTAGTTCCACAGTTTGACGCTTACGGAATGTCTCGGTATTAATTTACGAGCGTGACGTTGTTACAGGAGTTTGTTCGATGGTTTGTCGGTAGCGCGACAAGTATTTGTTACTTCCCGATAGGTCCATTGGAAACTGGAGCAAACTGAAATTCCTGAGTGGATATCGACGGCCGGTGGTCGAAACATTAACGCGCACAACTAGTTTTGACGAATTGGAGAAATGAATAATCCTGTTAAATCGTTCCTAATCACTTCCAACTTCGACGGTAAGCGTTCACCGAGGTGCTATTCCAAAGTTAAGAGATCTTTTCGAAAAGACATTATGGCTGATTGTTACCATGAGAATTTAACGATCTTGTTAATTTCCTTCGAAATCGTACAAATCAGACGATATTTCACCTTTGAAATTGGTTCCCTCAAATAAAAAATATCTCTCACCATTTTCTAGACGATGCCATTTTGCTTTGCCTAACAAGCGTTCTTAACAAGTCACGTTTATACTTATGAAAATTTTGAAGTTCGCATTGAAATTTTCATTGGCACCGCGATGGCTGTCGACTTTTTTGGTTACGTTTAAGGACCATTCTTGACTATCTACTTTCTTATGGATCCTCGGAATTGTACAGTACGGCTTGACAGAAGACATTAATCCTATCCACTTCTCTTTCGTGGATCGACAAAACCAAGTTCTTCCGTTTTCGTTCGCGCAGTCTCATCGAATAGTCGACTCACCAGTACTTCCCGTCCATTCCAACTACGCCACTTCGCCTTCAATTATCCTTCTAACCGGTCTTCCTACCATGAGGGCTTTGCGAACGAAGCCAATTTGTTCGATCGCTCATGGAATACCGGAGCTCTCTTCCATTTTCCTTCATTCCACTATTCTTTTCTCTTCCTCCACGTTTTACTCTCCTACTAATCTAATGGATACGAATATCAACGAAAGATCTCTTTTATTTGGATTATCTATATCTTATGAATTTATGAATTCACTACTCCCTATGAAATTTTTCAACATTTATTTATAAAATTAGATTAGCCATTTTCATATATATATATATTATTCCAAACTTTCTGTAAAACTTTAGACATTTTTATTGTTAATTACATAAGAACATCAATCGATTTTAATTACAAAGGAAGTATACAAAAATTATAAATAACAATAACATAACATAATTTAACTAATTTTAAAATATAAACGTAAGAAGAATTTAGCTTTTAAAGTATACATTAAGCTCACATTCGTATTATAATGTCGAGATCCTTTGTATCGAGTAATCTCATTATTTTCGATCCAAGAAGCTTTTTGTTCGAGATTCCTCTTAAAATGAACGATTCGAGCGAAAAATTGTTACGTATTAAGGACCATACCGTTTTCACACGAAAATTATCCTGAATGACTTGAATGGCTTTCTAAACCGTAATAGCACTGTACAGTAACGAGCATGGTAATCGACGTATAAAAGAAAAAAGATCCAATAAAATGTCCTATAGAGCTTATTCGCAAAAGAAACATTGTTATCACTGAAAAAAGATAAAAATACACGAAAAGAGAACTACTAGAGATCGTGGTAAGATCGTAGAAGGAAATAGAATGAATACAGCTTCTATCTCGTAGAAAATAAAAGAGGTTATGAAATTGTAAGTTTATCAAAGGGTTTCAAGTACTATAAAGTTTACGCTGGTTATATGTATATATGTACATAGATATGTGTATACGGATATCGTTGACACAAAGTAAAATATAAAAACAATAAAAATGTTCAAAGTTACCATTAATTACGTTCAATTCATACCTGATACACGATACACTCGACGCTTCGACCTATCATCAAAGAACTCATTTATGTTATATTCACTCGAGCAAATATAAATAAAATATTCTACATAGATATATATTATCTAGGCACATATTATTCTTTAAGAGCGTGGATATTATTTTAGCACGTTACGAAAGACTTACCATTGATGTGTAAATTTATGCGAATAAATTTGGGCGGATGAGTGCTGATCTGACATTCGTACTGACCCTCATCGCTGCTATTGACGCGTTTGATTTCTAGACGCCAATTGTCCGGATATTGAAACACGATGGTGTACCTTGGGTCACCGGTGTACGTGAGATGGCCGACAGTCAACAAATTCATTTTTTCACTGTTTTCCTGTCTCCTTACCCAGGATACCTATGAGCAAAATAAAAGCTTTATTTTATATACTGTTTTATTAGCAAATATCAATATCGTAAATATTCTAGGATTATTTTTTTTAATACTGATAAAGAAATACTGAAAAAAGATAAAATTTTATAATACGTAAAATATTAAGGCTCTAACTAAGCAAATAGATAGTAGGTGAAAATATCAACAGGTGCGTAAAGCGTCGTTGATATTCTTCAAACGATTGGAATCGATATTTTTGAGGACTTCTGGCGTATATGCATATATACATTCATATATATATATATATATATATATATATATATATATATATATGTATATCGTTATACTATTTCTCTCTTTCTCTCTCTCTCTCTCTCTCAATAAAAGATATAATACATCGCTATAAAAATACATAGTCGTACTGCTCTTTTTAAGTACGATTTGTAACTTTCAATTGGAAAAAATATAATTTCAAGCGTGCTTGAAACTTTAGTTGGATGTTGGAGGTAGAATAGAGAACAAGCCGATTGGAAGGTGTCGCGTTAGAGAGAGATAGAGAATAAAAGAGATAGAGATAGAGAGAGAAAGAGAAATAGAGAGAGAGAGAGAGAGAGAGAACGTTGGGTGGAAGCATAGGATGGAGTATGCAGTTTATCCGCGTAATTGGAATTGGATAGTGTGTTTCCGAGTAACTCCATTAAATGCACGCGATATCGTACATCTTCTACATGGATATCTACGAGGTATACAGGTATTATCTGCCCAACCGAGATTCGTGCGTTGTGCATAGCCACACACGTTTCACGCAGGTTACACCTTGTAATCGCTGCTACCTCTCGTTTCACCTTTCTGTCATCCCATAAAATAACTATCGAAAAACTCGTTCCTATGATATATATGAAAGAACCTCAATATTTTCCTGGTATTTTTTGTTTAATTTGATTGATCTATGATAACGAACGATAAATAATGGATGTAAAATTTTCATTGTAGAATATATATAAAAGAGATTTTCACCCATATGAAATGCAAGACATTCTTTTTCTTTCTTTTTTTCTTTTTCTTCTTTTTTTTTTATATAATATTATGCACTTATATATATATATATACATAAATATATATATATATATATACATAAATATATATATATATATATATATACATAAATATATATATATATATACATAAATATATATATATATATATATATATATATACATAAATATATATATATATATATATATATATACATAAATATATATATATATATATATACATAAATATATATATATATATACATAAATATATATATATATATATATATATATATATATAATTATACATATTTATTTATATAAAATAATAAATTGTCGGAAGATAAACGTCGCCCAATTAAAAATATATTCAACGTAATCGATTCTCGAATATAGAGAAAATTGAAGGGACCTTTTAAAATCGCATATACCTATCTACGGGCAAATCGTTTAACGATACTCCCGGCATATAAAAGCCGCAAAATGCACGACTTTTTACGCTCTATCCATCATTCCCATTCAACATCCGTTATTCATTATCCATCAATTATTTCACATGGAAGTTTGAAATCGTAAAAACGTTTTAATTTTACGATCATGACAGATCGTTTCACGGTACGTCTATACATACGTGACAGATTTTTCAAAAATCAAAATAAGTCTCGTATTTCGGGAATTTATTCGATTGAATAATAATTGTGATCTTCTATAGGTCTTTAATTAATTATACGCCGAAGATAATCACTCATGGATAATATTATTAGCATGCCGTCGTTAGCAGTAATAGCAATAGCAATGATATTAATAGTCCATATTCCTCTGAAATGTGAGAGACAAGGAGAGAGAGAGAGAGAAAGAGAGAAGTGAAAGAAGAGAGAGAGAGAGAGAGAAGTGGAAGAAGAGAGTGAGAGGTCAGAATATAGCGAAGTGCATCGTTTTCAGGATATATTCATAACCGAACGAGGTGATAGCGATGGTGGTTCAGGGTTTCTCAACGTTTTAGCATTTCGAACGGGCGAATGGGTACGTTCGAGAGGATCATAACCATTAGCAGTAAAAGCGGTAACTCTTTGATATACCGAACATATCACGTACCCATAATTACCAAATTATGTAAATTATCGTCGGAAGTTACTCTAGTGATGCGTGAACACGAGTCTTTCATATATTTCCCTCGTAAACACGAGCTTCGTGGTTGGCTACGCCTTTTCGTTTTAATAATCCTTAAAAAAATCCTTTTTTCCTTACTTGTAGATCTATAGATATTTTTCTTAGCTTAATGCTATATGAACGTATTAGAATATATTGAAAAATACGATGTTTAGTTTTTCATTGACAAATTGTATTTATAAATGTAAATTTTATCTATAAAATGTATCTATAAATTAATAACAATATAATTCTCTAGCACTATGTATTCTAAGTAACATACTTTTTTTTAATAGTACTTGCGTAAGAGATCGTATAAACTAATTTTTATTAACGATAAAAACTAATAGAATAAGTGTATCTGATTAGAAATTGACACAATCTCATTATGATAGAAACGTGATGAGAAAGCAATTTCTTCGATCAATCGGTTAGTGGTAACCATAATTAATATTATGCTAATGATAAACAAGGTTTCCCTTGATCTAAATTAAATCGTCAAACGCAATGTTTATCTGTGGAAGTTGGTAATAACATGAGTTCAATTATTAAAGGAGATATTTGATGGAAGAACGTCTATCAAGAGCTCCATCGAACGTGAACCATCAAAGAGCTTCTTTGATGATGTCAACTAAGTAACAGAGGAAGATGGTTTGATATTGATTTACTTAGTTACGTTCACTTATTGTTATTATGTCATCGATTTTTGGAAAGCAAATTACTTCGTTTGACATTTTGCGAAAGAATTTTTGTAGAATGAGGAAAAGAGAGAAAGAGAAAGGAAAAGAGAGAGAGAGAGAGAGAGAGAGAGAGATCTGTTCTCATATGATTTTTTTCGTTAAAAGCAAATCGTAAATTTGAAAATTTTGGACGAAGAGGTAGCTTGTTAACCGTAACACACGATGGCAAGAAAGATGACAAATTAGATGGAAATATTCTTCGTACTTGACGTCACTTTTCAGGGAATTTCCCTTGACCCTTTGAACTCGCTGACTGAGCCAACGGAATTTTCAAACGACTTTCGAAATTGAATGAAAGTCGAGAGCTTGTTAGGTACGGAACGTCAGTTAGCGGATAAGCTAACGTACCTACTGAAAACGATCGTTTCCCGACACTTTTTAATTATCGAGGATAGCCGGAAGAAAATTGAAGATTGCACAGAATAATACATTACTTTAAAATACATACATAAAGTTAAGAATGAATTATTCGTAATATATAAAACTGTATCGGATTTTTAAAACTTTTTTCCTAAATTATTCCATTTAATTATGAATTGATTTTTACTCTCTCTCTCTCTCTCTCTCTCTCTCTCTCTCTCTCTCTCTTTCTCTCTTTCTCTCTCTCGTCCAATATTTGAAAAGGATTAAAGGGTAAATGATCAAACGGTCAATTCGAGATCGTTTAATCATTCGGATAGTAGATACTTAGATAGTAGAACTCTCGTTAGTGGTTCAAAGCATTGAGCTTGATGATCGAAGGTATACATGCTAGTTGCGTTCAGGTATTAAGGTAATGCGAATTGCGATTGCTCAACTCGGTGTATCTACTGCTATTGCGCGGACGAGAGTGCGGCCCCATTGCGGCCGTATTGACGTGCGACGTGATGTACACACAGGCCGCGGGAAGAAGGATTGAATTCAAAATGACTCGCCGAAGGAAAGACAAATACGTTCGAGCTTGGCACGGAGTTGTTGGCTTGACAAGAACCAGATCGAGAGAGTTAGTTGGCAAAGCAAGAGAGAAAGAGAGAGAGACAGAGAGAGAGAGAGAGAGAGAGAGAGAGAGAGAGACATAAAGCTCTATTTAAAGAATCATTACGTGTACGTAAGATAGAATGCTAAAAGAGTTAACTTTTCATTTGTATGGAATATTTTATCGACACTTTAACGATCGTACTGGCTTTTCGTAAAATGTTCTCTATTCGATTTCTCTATGATTTTGAAATTAAACTAATTTCTAAATTTCTAAATTTTTCATTCCCCATCTCTCTCGTGCTTTTATTAAATTATTCGTTTGCTAACACTGCTATTACATATTCATAAGGCGTAGATTTTCTCGGAATTTCCTGAATATCTATGTACGTCCTACTACACATATTTACTTTACGCGATATCATAACGTGTCATATAGAAACGTTATAACGTTTAGACAGTTGAAATATGTCTCGTATCATCGCTATTAACCTTTCATAACCGATTAGATAATTTATGATTTTTAGAGATTTTCTACTATTCTAGAATGTTTACATAGTAATTATAATTGTATCTATTAACTCAATCAAAAAATTATACTTTAACATTTAACGTACAAGTATGATTTCGAATTGAAATTTAAATTGTAACATACCGTTTTGTCCTGCAACAATGATATCTTGCAGTCTAAAACGACGCTGGCACCAGCTTGAATAGTGATGTTTTTCGCTGAACTATCACTCTCAAAATGTGGACCCCAACGATGATCGTGGTGATGTTGATGTTTGTTTAGAGTACTATGTGCATCGAATATGTAATTCAGCATCGGTGCGTCTGTTGCTACCGATCGCTTTGCCGCCGTTGTCGCTCTCGTTGAGACTTGATCCGTTGACAAAGGTAGATCTATAAAAATTTCATCATTATATCAACAATGGCTAGTCTATATCAATAAATTGTAAAAAATATCAGTTTTATCGTTGACAATATATTATATGTATTTATTATCGAGTACAATAAAACATCTTGTATATAGAGAAAATCAATTTTCCAAAATTCTTAAAAGATTTCGTCATATATATATATATATATATTTCTTTTATTTCCGTGATTTATTATAACATTTGATATGTCGAAAATAAGGTTCACATCGTTCTCCTATCGTAAACACTTCGGATATCGATACGAATTCTTCGAACCTGATCGGAGACTTTTGCTGCGTGCCTTATCGTGATGCCCGTATCCCTACGTCATCGCTTTGAACGACTCCATTTACGATTTCACGACTCCAAGTGACATTTTGTTCGTTCATGAGTATGAAGCCGCCTGAATGGAAATAATATTGGTCATGGCTTTTTCCTACGAGATATTCCAATGGAAATAGAACGTTACGCATTGTATTACATTTCTTATTTATGAAAGGAAAAAGAAAATAAAAGTGAAAAAGTTATATTGTTATTTCAAATAAGTAGACATAGCGCATTCAATGGTGAATAATATTTTGTGTCTAGGATATTGTAATTTAAAGAAAAAAAAAAAAAAAAAAATTAATTTCTTTTATTATAATGTTTAATTTTGTTTATTTAAAATTCAACAAAATATTTTCGTTTAAACGAAAAAGTCGATTCCTCTTTACTATTCGAAGAAGTTATCCTTCCAAGAAGTTTTTTCTTCATCCATCACGATCGAAAAAGTAGATCAGACGAATCCTCGTGATACGGCACGCGCGTGCACAGCCTCGTGATAAGTTTTCTACGAGGACGAATCGAATTTGAGATATTCCATACAGGTACTCGTATAGATACGTGTAAGATCACATAAGGCTGCTTTTCCTCTTATTACAAATTAAACGGAAGAAATTCGACGTTTCTCGTTGGATCATTTCAGGGAGAAAAGTTTTTCGTATTAGGGTAAATATATCACTGCGTTGAACGGGTAAGAGTATAAGGGATGGGAGAGGGGGAAGGGTAAAAAAAGAAAAGGTCGGAGTGTCACGAAGCGTGAAATTTTCTTTTCCATGTACGACAGAAATTCTTTTCTTCCTCTTTTTCACCTTCGTCCTTATCCTTTCTCTTAACTCCGCTTTTCTACCCTCGATGCCATCCTTTTTCACCCTTCACGAAAATTCTTCCTTCTTCCCTCGAGGAAAAGAAAAACTGATCGAGGATTCAACTGGAACTGTCGAAAGCGTGTCCGGAGTAGCAAGGAGAGGGTATACGCGACTATAAGGGCTCTTATCTCGAATATGAAAATCGTTGTGCGTCATATCGACGGAACTAGGATGGGTTTCACGATCAGCGAACGTTTTATCCGTGCCTCGCGAGTCTCCTTCAAGGAATTCGGATCGTTCTGTCTGTTTAGGAGACAGCAAGCGAGACGTCGGTCTTACATAAGTGGTTATCTCGTCTAGCTTTACGTGCTTTTTCGTCTTATAAGAAAAGATTCGAATTCCTAAAGAAAAATTCTTACGAAACGTAATTCGCATTTTTATGAATCTCACTGACTTAAAGAGATCTTCGAAGATGTCGTATATTCTTGTTAGAAAAAAAAAAGAAAAAAAAAAGAATGAAGAAATAAATAAAAGGAAGATTTATTTTTTTAAATTAAATTATGTGCTTGCGATATAATTGACTTAGACAATTACTTAAGTAAAAATTGAAGTACGATAAATATCTTATCTCCTTGATACATTTCCAAAAATGTTTACGTTGATTTTATGAATACCGCAACTTGCTTTAATTCTAACGAATAATCGTATCTCGGTTTTTCTTCGACGGTTTCTTTATTCAACAACCTAAGTTTTCTTTTTCAAGCAAGCTTCAGCAACATAAGTATTCTTTTTCAAGCAAGCTTTAGTCTTGTGAAGCTTTTTTTATAACACCTTTTTCTAACTTTCTGTCAATATCTTCTCTCCTTCTCTCTCTCTCTCTCTCTCTCTTTCTCTTTCTCTTTCTCTCTCTTTCTCTCTTTCTCTCTCTCTCTCTCTCTCTCTCTCTCTCTCTCTCTCGCTTTCTTTGGATAAAATGTAACGAATATTCTAAAAAGGCAGAGCGCGGATAAACGGAAACGAGGACGTGCCGTACGTACTGCAATTACAAAGTGATCACTTAACGTGAAAATCTCATTACTATTCGCCCAGTGAATTTATTTCATTTGTATAATTCGTTTCCATGAAATCAAAGTCAAAAACGTATTCGGTTCACCATTCGTTTGCCTTTCGGACGTAATGATCGACACATTGATAAACGAATCGATGATTTTGAAAGTACAAGAAAAAAAAGAGAGGAAAAAAGAGAAAACAGAAGAAGAAGAAGAAGAAGAAGAAGAAGAAGAAGAAGAAGAAGAAAGATAAGAAATTGAGAAAATCTTTCTTTTCATTTTCGTTTCACGAGAACGTGATTATTGCGATTTCTCGCAATCCATCTTTTCCACTTTTCTTCTCTCTCTCTTTCTCTCTCTCTCTCTTACTTTTTCTTCTTTTCCTTTTCTTTTTCGAAAATTCGAAAGAAGATTTTCCAGCATTGAGGGAGCGTCTCGCCGCGAAGTCCTCATATTTTCATCCAATGCGAGAACCTGCACAAGCTTTAATCGACCTGCTTCGAGTCTCGCAAACACTCGAGACTTCTGACTTGGCATTTTCCCTCGTATTACGTTCCGCGCTCCGTTCCTGCTCTAGATAGAAAATGGAATCGCGTTTTCAGTAAAAAGCAAGAAAAAACGGCACTTCTCTTTCTCTCTCTCTCTCTCTCTCTCTCTCTCTCTCTTTCTCTTTCTCTCCCTCTCTCTCTCTTTCTCTCTCTGTCTCTCCCTCTCTATTTTTCTCATAAGTGCTATAGAAAACGGTTGGATCGGTCCTTAAAAATCATCGTCGATTTTCGGGAGGTATTTTCGAATAATAATTGGTGATTAAATAAATATTAATCATAGTCGTTGATTATCATGCACCAATTATGGATCTTAAAATTACAATTCTCATACGTTATGAAATATACGTATTAATTTGTCATAATGTATTAAAAATTGCTTTAAAAGCATAGTAATTTTAGGAAGGATAATGAAAATAAACCAAAAAAAGAAGAAGTAATTTTAATATATTGATCAAAACGTGAAATGTACTACTTGCTATATATATATATATATATATATATATATATGTATATAAAAAATATATATATATATCGCTCTAAAACATTTATATATATATACATATTTTTTTATTACTAAGAAATAAAATGGGATACAATAAGACTATGACACAGATGTAATGGCTTTAAAAGTTGACTATGACTTATCGAAGGACACATGTGGAGCTGGACCATGAGCACAGAGAGTGGTGCGCCATGTGACGTGACTATGTTGGGATGGTGGTTGTACGTGCCCCTCGAGAAAGCGTGCTCGTGGTTAAAAGTCGATGTGGTTAAACGTTGAGCTCGAGAATATACGTTTCTAACACGGCACGCTTCTCTCTCTTTCTCCTTCTCCCTCTCTCTCTCTCTCTCTCTCTCTCTCTCTCTCTCTCTCTTTCTCTCTTTCTGTCTGTCTCTCGAATAGGATACGGCATCGAGGCAATGTCGGTAGCGTAATTTTAGGGAGCTGCGGGCTAACCACAGTAAATAATTCCGATTCGAAGCACAGTCCAGTTGTATTCTCATGTATTATGCATGTAACGTAGTCGGTGCAACGTGCATAACGCACATAGTCTAGACTTAGTAGATACGCAACGTCGCTAGAGATAGATAAATACAGAAAAGGAAGAGAAGAAAAAGAGGAAAACAATATTTATTAAATGTGACATGTGCTTTTCAAATGTAAATTATATTACATGATCATTAAAGTTAATAAATTAATTAAACGTAATACATAATATTATTAAATAATATCCCATTGATAGTCAAGTCTAATAATAAAATGAAATAGTTAATAGCATGTCTAGACATATCTTAATCTTCTTATATTTTCTTATTCAGGTAAATAGATCTAACCTAAATGATAAAGTAAATACAAAAGCAACTTATTTCTAGGGATAAACATAGAGCTTCTAAAGCTACTTTATTCCCTTACGTCGACAATTCTCGTCTCTTTACTTGAACGCGTCATCACCAACGAGATCCAATTTAACGATCGCTCGAGGAGAATCGATGTGAGCGTTTGCGCGAAAATCCGTAGAAATATCTTCGCGACGAATCACCCCCCTGAGACTTGGTCGTTTCTATTTGAGAGCTGTTCAGTGAACTCTTGCGTACTCTCGCTCGATGGAATGGATTAAGGTAAAAGCAACGACGGAAGGAAGAGAGAAGAAAGAGCGAGAGAGAGAGAGAGAGAGAGAGTGACAGAGAGAAAGAGTGAGAGTGAATGAGCATGAGAAAGAGAGCGTAAAAGATGCTAGAGTCAGCAGATTTGTATTTTATCTTACAATTGTATAAGTGAATGTTATATACATATATATATATATATATATATATATATCTCCATTGCAACTTACTTTGGAATACATTTCCTTGCGGTTTGACCTTGATTGCTATTTGTTCGTCCATTTCTATAAGACGAATAACCGCAAACGAGAGTAAATTATATTTCGTCCCTTCATTATAAAAGTATATAATGATAAAGATCAAATTGATTGATATCAATCGGTACGTGACATTGGGCGATCTATTCTACATTGGAAATTTAAAAGGCGCTTTCCAACGATTTTTGAACATTTCCTTCATGAATATTCCGATCAGAAGTGATGTTTATGAGAAAGCGAGCTTAAAGCTTCAAGATCTCTTTTCCATAAAATATAGTAAAAAAACGCTATCTTACTGATCTTGATCGATTCCTCTATCATGCAAAGTATCTCCTCGATATCGCTCGAAGCATCTTTTTCGTCTCGTCTCGTCTCGTCACATCTTTTTTCTACTTTCACTTCGTCTTTAGATAGGAAGCCATTTTTGAAACGTCCTAACCTCAACGAAAATTTGCTATAACGAAAATACATTTACAAGGAATTGGAATGAAATTAAGGGCAATATTCAGATTTTGTCAATATTCTGTAATATATCTATGTTCCATTAAATATGAACAAAAAAAAGTGTATAGAGTTATACATGCATTTGTTTTCAATCTCTTTCTATTTTCTTTTTTTTCTTTTTTCTTCTCTATATTTTGTAATAGTCGTTAAACGATCTTTGATAACTCAAATCGAAAAAAAGGGATCGTTCTCGTCGAATTGTTCTTCATCTTTACGAGGCTATTATCGTGACGAAGCTTTTTACGGGGACGTAAAAAGTAGATTTGCATTACACGCTTCGAAAAACGAACGAGCTTCGTTCTCCATAGACGACGACTAAGACGATGATGAGAACGACGGGATGTACTACACGTAGAGTTTCTCTCAAGCAATTGCACTATTCGCTGTTCCACGCATTAAATTTTGCTGGCTCGTGTTACATGAGCCCTTTGCCCGATGTTACTCACAGCAAGCTTGAAAGTCAATGCGCTCACGCGTTAACGTATGCCTTTTCGAGCGTAAACATGATCCAAGAAATGTTACTAATTGTAATTCGCTTCGTTTCCGTGCTTTCGCGTAAAGAAAGTTAATATCAAACTTTGGTTCTTTGCTCGTACTAAAATGTTGTAATGTGTTTAATCGATGTAAATCTTAAAATTGATCTTCCCTTTTATTTATCTTTTCGTTATTTTTTCTTGACGATAGATAATCGAATCGATATTATACTTTGCTATTATGTTTGAAGTATTACGAGACATGTAATATAATAGAATAAATTTTCTCAATGAAGTTTTTCATGTTTCATTCTGCTTTTTTTTTTATACTTTCATGAAAATCGAATAATTTTTTAGCATCCTTTCTTTCTTTCAATAAGTTTTATCATAGCAATTCAATGTATCCCGATGCCTTTCGATAAAGATTCATGTCTCTTCGGTCAATTCTATCAATTTCTTCAAACTTTATTTCCGGAATAAAATGACGATAAAGTTTTATAGCGTATTAAGTATATTGCCGGTCAATGGAATTCGAATTTATTCGATCGTGCCTCATAAATCTACGAGGCTAACTCGCCGATCGTCAATCGTTCGCATCTTTTGAGATTAAAATCGTTAATTCGCTAGTTATAATATTTGTATATAGATATTTTCGATCGTAACTTTGACTCCAAGGTACACAATATTTCTCTCAATTTCCTCTCTGTATTTCACGAATAGATCTTACTTTACTGAGAAAATCACACCCGGTCTTTGCCCAAAGGCATACATATATCTTCTTAACGACGTACCATACCTTCAAACATACTCGCTTGACGTAACTAATTCCACTGAAGTGCAAGCATCATCATTGGTGAACGATACGAAGGGATTCCTCAGATTCGCTTCTACGTTTCACGCGTATTATGCATTGTCGCTGGCAAAGTTTAATCGTATTGCTTAAGAACATAATGTATCATGTATGAGTATATGTTTGATATATACGTATACATTTATATACGCCAATTCCTATAAATCCGCTTAATAAAATGAACTCTCTGCATGAAGGTATGCGAAGGGAAATACATATATGTTTAAAATGTTTATGACAAGATAACGACTTTTATGGACCACGTTTTAATTGGTTTCACTGAATTTATTTTCATTGAAATATTTATTAGAATTTTCTCGATATTTCAAACAATATTTGAGAAATTCCATTCGAATGAAAACGTTTAACAGTCCTTTTATAAAATTATAATATTAATCAATCGTGTTTGTTTTATATGCGAAATAACTTTCCTCGTCTTTTGACAAGTAAAACGTTTAAACTTTATCACGATATAATTCTCATTACGCACAATTTTTTTTTCTTTTCTTTTTTTTTTCTAATTTGAAGAACAAATACGAATGTACGTTCATCAGGTTTTACAACTTCATGAATTACTGACAGCACAAACGATATGCCTTCTAGTCACTTCAAACTGTGTGGATGTTCTCATTGATGCTGGGAACTCTCGTGAAATGAGCGACCTCGGGAGTTTCGTACCTTGTTGCGCGTCATTTTCACGAGATTCATTGGCTAATCAAACGGAATGCCCGAGGCTGCAGCTAAACGTTATGATTCTGGTTATTTGGAATTTAATGGTTGAGCCTGTTAGTAACGAGCTAACACAGAGGCAAAGGGTCGCCGAATCTCGGAATTTGGCACTTCCGATAGGATCTTCGTACATGCTGACGCTGATTAATCATTTCGATCGAGCATCCTTGTGATTCGATGTCGATGGGTAACTGGAATCAACGAAGAGAGCTTTAACCTCCTTACTGTCCATCGCTATATCAGAATTTTAATCGCTTCGACAAATTCATCACCGATGGAAAGCGTTTTCCTATAGATGTATTGGTACGCGTGTACTACAGAAGAGGACACCGATATCGATTATTTCTAATTGCATATTCGTGTACTCTGTTTATGGGAATTAAATATTTGAGAAATATGTGTGTGTACACACACACACACACACATATATATATATTTTTTTTAGTATCTACGAGAAATGTAATTTGAATCGAAACTGTTTAAACAAATATATTGAAAGAATTTTTTTCAAGCTGTTTGTATTAATCTGATTCATTCTTTCATATGTTCAACGATATTAGGAATTAACATTTATTAATATGCATTTCATCGATCATACCGATTTCAAATTTATTTATAATAAATTTTGACGAACTAATCATTACTGTCGCATGGCTAAGATCACAGAAATTGTCGATGGGATCTTTAATGGCTGTCGACGTTATTGTACCATAACTCGTTGCAGCTGCGAACGTTCGAAATTCCCGGCACATTGTTATCATTTTGACGCGATATTCGCATCATCCTGGATATACATAGTGTGCTCTCATACGGTCTACGGACGTTCGCGGTCTAGAAATCATCCGGGATCGTGCATACGGTAAATCGAATTACATCGAGGGTACGACAGAATATAAATAGAACTCCTTTGCATGCGATAATTGAACAGCATTCGACATGATAGAAAGACATAGGGAGAGAAAGAGAGAGAGACAGAGAGAGAGAGAGAGAGATTGAGAGAGAGAGACAGAGAAAGAGAGAGAGAGAGAGAGAAAAAGAACATTCTCTCACTTCCATTAATATTCCCATCCTTTTTTCTCTCCTACATATTCCTGCACATTTAAAATACACATGAAATGTTTCGTTTGATTTGATCAATTAAAATCGTTTAAAAAAACAAGAAAATATTCACTTTGATAAAATTCCAACAATTTTTCGATTTATACAACTTCATTCTCGTTTTTCTTTTTTTTTTTTTACGTATCCTCTCTACGAATGTGCACGATAAATATATTGAAGATAATCGAATTGAATAAAATATTCGATATATATGTATATATATACATTACATTTTGTAATGCACTGTTAACGCAAGCTTATCTATATCCATACGTCGATAGAATAACAAAATATTTCACTATGCAAACGAGCAAATTTCACTCAACTCGAAGCGTAGTATATCCGCTTTACTCGATACATATTCGAGCCTCAGGCTATTTATTCTTAAGATGTCTAGCGAAGAGCTAGCTACACTAAATAGAGAATCGTAGTTCGAGTTACTATTATTATAAAGCGGCATACCTATGTTTCGTACACTGACACAAATAATTAGGTTAAATCTGTAAGCATGAGTATTCCGGAGTACAATGACCATGCTGTGGATTTCATGCTTCCTCGGTCTCTTCATAAGCGATTCTGTTCGAATCAATAGAATAACGAGATGGCTATTCGTGCATTGTCCCGTGCATCGATGGTATTCGAGGGTGCATTATTACCGTATAAACATGGAGCGTTCGTTGTTGAGTTTGTTTTGAACAGAAAAAAAAAAGAAAAGAAAAAAAAGAGAGAGGAAAAATATTGCGGTAAAAAAATATTTTCATTCATACTTTTAAAAATTAAAAGCGTTATTTTTATACATTTATTATATCATATTTTCTTTCCCTTTTTTTTTTTTTTTTTTTTTTAATGAAAAACAATACGCTGTAAATCTACGCGTACTGGTTTAAAAAAGATATAATTATATAATTATATAATTATATAATTAATAATTTTTATATAATTATAAAAATGATCGTTTAAAAAAAAAACGTTTATAAATTGTTAAATAGAAAAGTTGAAATATCTTCAAATTCAATCTAAAATCATACTATCATTATATGACATAATTAGGTTCACTACTGTCTTACTATTGAATAGATAGTACATTGAATGGAAACAATAGATTTGAACGTACCTGTGCGTAAATCAGACGCTGATAGAAGTGCGAGGCAGCAAGTTGTCAGCAGCCGAAGGAGCCACATGACACTGCACATGACTGCTCGGCGTGATGCCGTTCACCTTCCTTATCTCTCCCCGCTACTGCGGTTCGCGTACCGCGGCTTTGACGTTTCCGTCATCTGAAACAGCCGTCGTTCCTGTGTCAGCATGTATGCGTTTCTCCAGATGGATTGATGATCATGATGAATTGTCCATTGAAATTCGTACGACCTATATATATATATATATATATATATATATATATATATATATATATATATATATGTATATATATATATATATGTATTATGTATATTTTTTATATGTATATTACATATGTATATGCATTTATATATTTTTTTGTCGGACAAATAACAAAATTAATATAATAAAAAATTTGTTTTTATTTTTCATTCTATACGAAATAGCCATTGCGGAATGTATAAAAAATATATCTAAATTATAAATATAAATCTTATATAAAATTATTGATCGTCTTATATCTCGATGATGTTTTATAATACGAATGAATGTTACACATAGAAATCTTTAAAACCGTCGAAAGACAAAACGGTCGTGGTAAATAACGTCGATTTACGGAGAAAAAGAAGGTCGTGAAAAACCACGTTTCATATGTTACACGTACATACTCGGGGTTTAGTTTATAGCCAGGAATACCATAATGCTCACGGTATTACTCCGCAATGCGGTGCCAGGTATCACGTAATTTCGCTTATACCGGAAAATTATCACTTTTCTTTCTCGCTCTTAAAGGTATGAGTAAAATATTTGCTAATACATGCATGTATGTAAAAATAAAAGAAATATTTTTTCTTGTATTTTTATGTTGCTCCTTATATTTTATCTAATTAATGTTTGTATAAATGCCATATAAATATTATAGTATAATAATTCATATTACATTATACTCACATTACGTTATTACAAAATAACAAGTACTTTTTTTTCGTCAATTGTCTCCCCTAATACACGAACGGGTCGCGTTCGCAGTAGTAGTTGATAAGTTTAGTCAGACGCAACAAAATCGAATATATAGCAAGTTGGACTTTCAGGTTACTAAAAATGAATTTAGAAGCTTTCGTGAATCGTACATATGATAGTAAAAAGAAATAGAGACGTAACTTGCAATGCTATAATGTAATTAATTTATTTTATTTGTGAGATAGAGAGAGAGAGAGAGAGAGAGAGAGAGAGAGAGAGAGAGAGAAAGAGAGAAAGAAGAGTGCCACGCTAATATGAAAGTATCGTCGACTCTCTGCGGGAATTAACTTCTCAAACTTATCCTCAGTTAGCGAGCAAGGATTTTAATTAAACTATAATTAAACTCTCGTTGCTGAATAGTGAATAATTTGAACGAAACAAAGAATACGAGTCCTGTACTTTCCACTCTTTGCCTTGTTTTTCTTCGAATCTTTTTTCCTTTTAAGTCGAATTAGTCTTTAGAATTTTTCGTTTATATTCTATATATAGATAGATATTTTCTAAAAAGATAGAAAGTTCATTATCGTTGCTACGCGAAAATGTTTTTTTTTGGAGTAATTATTTCTTAATTTAATTATTTTAGATCAAGAATTTCGATAGCAGAAATATCCACAAGTAATCTTATATATCAAAGTAATATTAAAATTACATTTTTTTTTATAGATATATATTATAAAAATTGATACGACGAATACGTTTCTTCGATAGCATTCAAGAGATTACTTATCTTCTTTTTTCTCTACTATTTCTTTTTTCTCATGGACAAGAGAGCTTTTTCTCTACTTGCGTCTACGTGCCATTTGGGAATTCGAAGGACCAGAAGAATGTCCGCATAGAAATCAATTTCGGTCTCTTGAGATACTTAGGGTCATGCTTGAAAAAGATATTAGATTACAGTACTCCTTTATGGATAGATATATTATATATCTATATATACTCATACACACACACACACACACACACGCACACACACATATATATAGGATACATTTTTTAAATTAAAATATCTGAATATCCCGAAAATAACGAAATTTTGATAAGAAAGTTTCAAATAAAAGTTTTATTGATTTTAGAGGATTAATAAATTAGAAATATCTATTGTTTGAAAGTATTGTTTCAAACATACGTTGTTTTCGATATACCTAAGTATCTTAATTTAAAAAAGTTTACTCTGTATATAGGATTTATATAGTGGGAGTTTGTTTGTTTTGAAATGGATGGCAACGTTCTTTGTTGTTTAATGTACTCTTGTAATAAAAAGAGTATGAATATAAACGACAGAATGACATACTCGGTATCATCGAATTTAAAAATTCAAGAGGAAATCTAAGTTCCTGCTTTTGTCAGGTAATAACAGAAGAACGTTGTATCGATCGGCGAGAACGAAAACTAGGAAATTCATATTTCATAGAGACACGCTAAAAGATAGTATTAAAAAGTTAATAACACTTTAGACCATATAGTGGGAGGGTAAGAAAATGAAAACTCTACAGAAATAAATCTTGACGGAGGGATCGAATAAATCAAATGAACGTTTGCAAGGAAAAAGTAAGAAAGAAAGAGAGTGAGAGAGAGAGAGAGAGAGAGAGAGAAAGAGAAAGAGAGAGAGAGAGACGACGACTAGAATGTCATATTCGTGATCTTACGATTTACTTTGAATTCTGATTTGTTGAACTAGTTCAAGATAACCGTTCATGATTTAATATATCCTTATGACGATGCACAGTCACGGCGTACTATTAATTTTAAAAAAGAAATGTTCCAATTGCTAGAAGAAATGATGTGAGGTAAAAGAAAAAAAAGGGAGAGAGAGAGAGAGAGAGAGAGATCTTTTCCCCTTGAAAATTTATTTCTCTTTTTCTCAACTCCCAACCATTCATTTTCAATTCTCCTCTCGCCGTTGTTTGAGTTCAATAATCTTCGTTGTTCCATCAAAACTATTTACCTATGCATGTGTTCGTCTAGTTTATCATTCATCATCGGTTCCCATCTTCTTCTTCTTATTTCATCTTTATCCATCTTCGTTCATCTTCCTTCATCTTTGTTTCTCGTTCGTCCTCATTCTGATTCCTTTTCTCTTTTTCTTTTCTTCCTCTCTATATCTCTTTCACCTAACTTTCCTCTTCTTTGTTCTTCACAGTTAACAGTTTCATGAACACATTCTATCTCTCTTTCCCTTTCTCTCTCTCTCTTTCTCTCTCTCTTTCTATCTCTCTTTCTCTTTCTTTATCTCTATCTCTATCTCTCTCGATTTTACTCAACAATGATGTATCCCGATCCTATGTCCCAAATTCTGCACGCCAGCACCTCGACGTAAAGAGGAGACGTATTTCGACGCTCGCGCAGTCCCACTTTTAGTACACTATGTCTTTGGGAGAAAGAGAACGAAGGCACTCTCTTCCTTCCTTCCTTCCTTCCTCGATGTAATCGCGTCTTTACGAGTTATTACGCTAACGCGAACTCCACGAGCAACCTCGAAATTCCCATAATTCCCATTTTCATCGTCGTAATTCCTACTCAACCTCGTCACTCCACCTTTAAATCGTGTGGTTTACACGCGAACTTGAGAATTAACGGAATTAATAAACGAGATACATATGAGATGTAATTGAATATTTATTAAAAAACTAAGACAATATATATCTTTTTATTTAATTAAATTATTATCGTAGATCGTTCTTTTGTTTTAATTGATCTTAAATCATGATAACATCTTCTGGGATATCTTCTATTTGTCTTAGAATCCTTTATTCATCAATTCCTATAAAAATGAAGCTTTGATATTAGAAAAGGTCGAAATATCATGATCGATATGTCGATAGTTTCGTTTCCCAACATATACGTGATTCGAACGTGTTGGTTTGTGGTCATCGTACTCGAACACCAGTTCAATTCCACTTTTGACAGTAAATCAATACCTCAAATATCGACCGATATTACATGCATTACTGCTGCAGGAATTCTCTTTCCTTTCTCTTTCTCTTCTTTTTTCTTTTTTCATTTCTTTTTCTTTTTTTTTTTACACAATTCTGCAATTGCAATCTGTAGACATAAAGTACATTTACACGAACATTCGATTGTAAACGGTCGCACAATTCGATTTGATATTCACCGGTCGTCGAGAATGTACATATTGTCTTACGCTAGCAGTGGCACCACAAATTTTTAATTAAATCAAAAATTATTTCCGAACAAGCTCAAAAATTATGTAGATATTAATGATTCAATTTATTCTCGTCGAAATGATAATTAAGAGTTTGAATCTAAAATTATATGCAAAAATTTTGAATATCATTGTTTCTACAGTAATATATGAATATAAAATATAAGAATATATTTTTATTACATTATCAAATCGTAGTAAATTTCATTATTCATAAGATATTAGAATTTATTGCTTATCGAGAGAGGGAGAGAGTATCGACCATGAAAATTCGAGGTTAGAGACACGTCCTTGATTTTTGTATAGTTCAACAAGGGAATTATGTCGGGACGAGAGAGTAGAAAAAAAATAAGAAGAAGAAGAAGAAGAAGAAAAAAAAGAAGAAGAAGAAGAAAAAAAAGAAGAAGAAGAAGAAGAAAAAGAAGAAGAAGAAGAAAAAAAAGAAGAAGAAGGAGAAAAAAGAAGAAGAAGATGAAAAAAGAAGTAAAAGAAAATGAAGAAGAAGAAGAAGAAGAAGAAAGAAGAGAAGAAGACTTAAATCAGACATCAAAGTTGTGTGCCGTTGTTGTATGCACATGATTTGGAAAGAAGAGAAAAAAAATAGTAAGAAGAAAATAAAGCAATCGATTACGTAGAAAAATGACAAAAAGAAGGAGAAATAGTAAGATCGAACGTGAGTCTGTGTGAGGGATGGGGTTGAAGGATAATATGAAAAGCTTGAGCGTTTGTGATGAAAATAGAATGAAAAAGAAAGAAAAAAAAACATGAAAAAGAAAAAGAAAAAAGAAAGAAGATAGGAAGAAAGAGGTAGAAAGAGGAAAGAGAGAGAGGATGACGTAGGATAGATAGAGGGAACCCTTAAGTTTTTAGTCCCGACCGACAGCGCCGAGTTAGAAAGGACAGTAAAACGACGGGGAAGAGGAAAAGGAAGAAAAGGGAGGAAAGAGAAACTTGGACAAGTTTAACGCCACGGCT